TTAGGTTTTGCAATTTTCAATTCATATTTCCAATTTCCATATTCCAAATCTCTTTCTTTAATTTTTATTTCTTCTACATCATTTTTTTTTTCAACTACAAGTCTACAATGGATAGATATTTCTCTCCCATCAATTTCAATGAGGAAGAAAACTATTATCCTAGTCCTAGTCCCGCTGATTTTACTATGAATGCAAGAGATTCAAATAGTCCCGCTGTCCCAATCCCAGTCTCAGAATCCGATTACACACCTCAAAATATGGCGTTGATTCCAACAGCGCCCGGTGGTTCTAGAAGTCGTCCTGTAATCGTCGTCCTCGTCAACTCATCTCAAGCTGAGGCGGGATCATCAACTGCCGTCGAAAGGGAAAACCGACACACATCAGAAGTTGGGCGCATTTCGACAAGTTTTAGAGACAGAAAATGGCGTTCAAGTCAAGAAAGCAAGATGCAAATATTGTGCAAATGTTTATAAAGCTGATTCAGGTAATGGTACTAGTACTTTAAAAAGGCATGCAATAAACATATTAATCAACATGGAAATAGAGAAACCAATCAAACTCAAATAACTAATATGGGTACTACTTGGCGTTATAATTTGATGTATATAGGGAACAGTTAGCTTTATAATTGCTGCATTGATCAACCTATTAATATGGCAGAAGATAAATTTTGAAATTTGTTCAAAATCATTTTTCCAGGATTTAAAAGTTATTCTAAAACTGCAACTAGAAATGATTTAATAAAATTGTTTAAAAAAATGAAATTAGAATTAAAAAATAAATTTCATACTTGTCATATTAGTGTGCTTAAACTGCTGATATTTGGAGTGGTAGAGCTAAACAAGATTATATTTGTGTTACTAGTCATTATTTTGATAATGAATTTAAATAAATAAATCTTATAGGATTTAGATTATGGATGTGGATCATAGTGGTTAGAAATCTATAATAAAATATTGAAGTTTTAGAAGATTATGATTATTGATAAAGTGATAAGTTTAACTTTAGATAATGCAAGTTCTAATAGTAAAGCTATAGAATTTTTTCAAATAATTATCTTTATATAATTTGAAGTTTTTTCACCAACGTTGTGCTGTCATGTTATTAATTAATTGTGAAAAGTGGTATGAAAACAATTAAAAAAAATATTGATAGAATTAGGGAATCTTTAGCTTGGATTACTAGTAGTAATAAAAGAAATGCTGAATTTCAAGAAGCTTGTATAAAACAAATATGTCTCCTAGAAATTTTGCATTAGATATGCCTGTTAGATGGAATAGTACTTATAATGCTTGATTCATGTTTACCTTATGCTAATATAATTAGTTTTGTAGCAAATAATAGAGGTCCTCATCATGGTAGAAAATGATTGGAAGATAGCTAAAGTATTTCATTCTTTTCTCAAATGTTTTACCAAGCCACTTTACAACTTTCTGGTGTGTATACCCTACTAGTCCATTGGTAATACATGCAATTAAAAATTCGAGTTATTTACAAAAAACAAAGATGATGAAATTACATGCACCATAAAGGCAATGGAAAAATTTTTTTTGAAATATTGGAGCAGTTCCTTTCTTTATGTTTAGGTGCTATATTTGATCCTAGAATTAAATTAGCACGTTTAGAAATGGTCTTGACAATTTAAGTGAAAATTTACAAAACGAATCATATATCAATCAAATAGGAGAGGTAAAAAATAGTCTTTTCGAAGTATATTTCCAATATGAAAACAGGTATGGGAACCCGTAGTCGCAAAGAGGCGAAATATCCAGAGAAGCTGTAGGAAGAACAAATGAAGACATTCTCTTGGAAGCACTGAATAGGCGAAGAGGACCCGAGTCCGAAGCACAGCCTCCTCTTCAGACGCACCACCACAACAACAACAACAAAACTAATATGCTGTCCTCCATGGAGTCGCAGAGTAATGACTTCAACAATATTTGGCAACCCCGAAATGTTTTCAACAGGTCACTTTGATCTTTAGAGTATTGGAGAGCCAGAAAATGTATTTTTCCGGTATATCAAGACTTGCCTTGGATGTTTTCGCTGTTCCTGTCTCAACCGTCTCATCCGAACAAACATTTAGTGCAAGTGGAAGGATTTTAAATGAAAGGAGGACTAAACTTGCTCCAAAAATGATTGAAGTCCTCACATGGCTTCGAGATTGGGAACGTCGCGCCATCAAGATTAACGAGGTTATCGACAGCTTTAATAGAATCATTTCAATTTTGTAATATAGATGATACAGATAAGGGAGGTCCTAGTGAACCACCCCAATTTAGTTGTTTTGTAAAATGTAATTTGTAAATTAATTGTCAATTATTGCACTCTTTTTTCTTTACCAAGTTTTTCCATTGGGTTTTCTTGGTGAGGTTTTTAACGAGGCAATAATTGTTGTAATTTCTTATTTTATTTTTTGATAAATGAATAAGTCTAATTTTTCTTATATTACAATTTTATTGTATTAAAATTGAATTAATATTTGAAATGTTAACAAAAAAAAAAAAATTGAATTGAATTGAATTATTGATATTTGAAAAGTTAACTAAAAATAATTATATTTATAATTATTTATTTGAAAAGATAAATTAAAAAAACAAAAACAAAAAAAAACACAAAAAAAAAAAATAAAATCGGGCTAACCCGGCCCGGACCGTGCCTAACCCGGCGGGTTAGGGCTGGCGGGCCGGGCTGGGCCAGCATCTTCCCCTTAATTGGCGGGCCTAACCCGGCCCGCCTTTGTTGGCGGGCGGGTTGAGCCCAGCCCGCCAAAACAAGTAACCCGCCGCGGGCCGGGCCGGGCCGGGCCGGGCGGGTTACTTTTCCACCTTTAGTTCTGACAGGGTCAATCAAAATTCTCTGGTTGGTGCAGATTTATGTATCAACAATACTTATTTTAGAAATTTCCATTGATGAAGTCTATGTGACTTCAAGTCAGTATAGAAATTTGACTCAAAGTCAGTCAAAGAGAGATCCTAATCAAAAGTGTTACTATATATATATATATATATATATATATAAACTTGATAATGGAGGATTGAAGTTACAAATCCATCAATTAAGGGACAATTAACAGTTAGTTTAAATTTAACTTTATATGAGGGTAAAGATGTAACTTTTAAATTGTTCTGTTTACAAAATAAATAATAAAAATGATAAATGATAATTAATAAATTTAAGAAAAAACTAAAAAAAGTTTTTAAATTACAATTTTAAATAATAAAAATTAAAAATTATTAAAAAAACAACAACCAAAATTTTAAAAAATAAATTAAGAAAAGCTATTATTATTTTCCTTTAATTTTGTAATTTTCTTTTAGTTTCTAATTTTTTATTTTTTATTTTTTTTTTTATTTTTTATTTTTTTTGATTCCCCTAAACAAAATTGGTTTTAATATTTTTTTTTTTTTTTATTTTTAGTTTTTAACATTTTTAATTTTAGACTTTAAGAACTAAATTAACTTTTTTTTTTCTTGTAACCAGGATATTTAAGTCAACTTATGTGTACTTCAACTAATCTTCGGAGTCCGTTAAACCCCCTATAAGTGACCCAAAAGGTTTGAACCCAAAAACTCAAGAAATGAGCAAACCTCTTTGACCTAAAGAAAAAAGCAAGGGCATTTAAGTCATTTAGTCATTTTCTGTTAAAGTTAACGACAAATAACCATTAAAACATTAGATATTTAAATGGCTCCTTAGTTTATGATTATAACTACAATAACGTTTTGATTACATTTTCTCTATTGATTGGGAAACAAAAACATCAGGTGAAACTTTAGAACAAATCAAGTATACAAATAATAAGTAATTTCATTCAATTATTTGCGCATTGCCTTTGCTTCTTTATTGTTAGAAATTAGAATTTAAAGAAAGATCCAGGCAATTTTGGTTGTGTTTGTTTTATTATTTTGAGTAGTGTTTTTGAGAAAGTTGAGTTGAGTTGTTATTACAAGGTAGGATTTAAAAATTAACAAAACACCCTTTAAGTTTGTTGATTTAGTTAAACACCCCCTACAATAAAAAGTTTATAAATTGACAAAAATATCACACCCACCCACATTTGCCAGATTTCGACCACCACTATTGGAAGGTGGCTGGACATTGATATGGCCTTTTTCGGCTAGATTCACCATGGATCTGGCCGGAAAATGCTAGATCTGGCAACATTTAGTTGTCAACGATGGTCATATCTTGGCTGTTGTTGACAATCAGATGTAGTCAAAGATCTGGCTGTCAACGACCAGATTTTTGGTAGTGGATCTGGCCAGAAAGTAGATTTGGCCTTTTCTGGCTAGATCCACGATGGATCTGGCCGGTAAAAGGCTAGATCAGCGCACTACTGGCTAGATCCAGTTGGTAGTGCACCATTACAATAGATTCTGGCCACCTTTCAGTGGTGGTGACCAGAATTTGGTAAATTTAGATGGGTGCGATTGTTTTTGTTAATTTACAAACTTTTTTGTTAGGGGTGTTTAGTTAAATTAACAAACATAGGGTGTTTAAAATTAGTTGAATAGAATATAATTGAATTTTGAAAATAGGCAAACAAATATGTATTTTAGGTAGGATACGAATAGGATAGAGGACCAAATGCAGCCGAATCCTCGACAGCACATTGACTTTGATTATTGTGGGTCTAAGTCTATTTTTGTAGGCAGTCAAAGAAATAGACCTTTGAGCTGCCGTCACTGGGATAGTTATGGCTACATAAAAGTCGATGAATATTCACGACAACTTTCACTCTAAACTCACAGCATTTCCCAGTGGGAAGATAATCGTTTTAATTCACTCTAAAATTCTGGAGTCTCCATCCTGAAATCCTTGCACTTTCATTTCACATAAGCATATTGCTGAAAATTTAGTCTACTCCTACTCAAAGAAAAAATTGTGAAGCATGGTTGATGCAGTTGTGTCATTTGTGGTACACAAGCTTGGAGATTATATCATCCAAGAAGCAATGTTTTTGGGAGATGTGAGAGATGAAGTGCAGTTGCTAAAGAATGAGCTTGAATGGATGCAATGTTTCATCAAGGATGCCGAATCAAGAAAAACAAGTTGAAGATGCTATGATTCGCAAGTGGGTTTCTGATATCAGAGACACTGCTTATGATACCGAGGATGTCTTGGATAATTTTATGCTCAAAATCGATCGCGGAAAGATTGCGAATCAAGATCGACCGGCTCTCTTTGCTTCGAGCAGGAAGTATTCATGCCTATTTGATATAGGCAAGAAGAAAGATCTGTATGGCATAGGCAAGGAGATTGAATCACTTCAGAAAAGGATCATCGATCTATCTCGTAAACGGGAATTGTATCGCCTTGAGGATATTGGTAATAGAAGGGAAGGAAAGAGCAATAATCTTGAGAGGTTGAAAGATTTAAGAAGAGTCACTTCCTTTGTTGTTGAGGGGAACATTGTTGGCTTTGAGGATGATGCTAAAATGTTGTTGGGTAAACTTGTTGAGGATGAGCCACGCCGTTTTGAAGTTTCCATCTTTGGCATGGGAGGTTTGGGCAAAACCACTCTCGCTAAAAAAATTTACCACAGCATTGATGTCTTCAATAAATTCAAACTACGAGCTTGGGTGTCTGTCTCTCAAGATTACCAAACTGAAGATCTTCTTCGACGAATTATAAAGTCTTTTGAGATCAAAATTAACGGAGTGGAGTTAGAGAAGATGAGCGGATAGGATTTGGAGAGGTGTCTTTAAAAATCTTTACAAGGATGCTTATACTTGGCAGTGATCGATGATGTATGGCAGAAAGAAGCATGGGAGAGTTTGAGAAGAGCCTTTCCGGATGACAACAATGGAAGCAGAGTTATAATCACTACTCGCATCAAAGAAGTAGCTGAGCGTTCGGATGAGAGAATTCATTCTCATAAACTTCGTTTTCTTAGGCCTGATGAGTCTTGGAACTTATTCTGTGAGAACGCTTTTCGAAAATCAAATGCAAACGAAGAATTGGAAAAGCTAGGAAGAGAAATGGTTGAAAAATGCGGCGGTCTGCCACTTGCCATAATTGTATTAGGCGGGCTGTTGTCTACAAAGAAACCACAAGAGTGGCGCTCGGTTCGTGATCACTTTTGGCAACATTTAAGGAATGATTCAATTCACATACCTTCCTTATTAACTTTAAGCTTCAATGATTTGCCTTATCAATTGAAGCTCTGCTTTCTCTATCTTGGGATGTCACCTGAGGATTCTGTAATCTTTACAGAGAAAGCAATCCGATTACTGGTAGCAGAAGGTTTCATACGAGAAGATGATGATCGAGTAATGGAAGAGGTGGCAAAAAACAACCTGGATGAGTTGATCAATAGAAGCTTGATTCAAATTGAAAACATTTGTCGGGGGAGGGTTGAAACATGCCGGATCCATGATCTTTTGCGGGATCTTGCAATTCAAAAGGCAAAAGAGCTGAATTTCTCTCAAATTTACGACGGAATTCACCATCCAACTTGCTCTCCAACTCCAACATCATCAGCTCGCCGACTAGTTTTTTATTCTGAAACAAGTTCTTCGTTCCAACATTGTAATTCTCTCTCACGTTCCCTCTCGTTGTACGATCGAGATGAGGACTCTTTCAGGCAAACATCAACCGCTATTTTCACAAGATTCAGGTTGCTCAGACTTCTTCATGTCGAGAATTATGTAGGATATATTTATTGCCATAGCTTACCCGAAGAAATTGGGCAGTTGGTCCACTTAAAGTATTTAACGGCAAGGATTACATTCATCAGAAATCTTCCACCATCGATTGTCAACTTACGAAAAACTGCAAACTCTGGACTTATACTCTCCCAAGTTCCCCCTCAAGCTTCCCATTGGAATTGGCAAATTGCAGGAGTTGAGGCATTTAATCGGAACATTTGAAGGGCCTTTGCCAACAGACAATTTGACAAACCTTCAGACTCTGAAGTTCGTAAGGTATGAAAGTTGGAATAAAGTACATCCTGAAAAGCTGGTTAATCTTCGCGAGCTGCACATCCATAATTTCCACACACAAGAACCAGAACCATTCATATTCGACTCTATTGCCAAGCTGAAAAACATTAGAATTTTATCGGTAAAACTGTCCGGCGTTCATTCTTTCAGTTCACTGCAACCACTTTCTCACTGTCCACGGCTCCAGGATTTGACATTGGGTGGGAAGATAGAGGAACTACCAGCAGACATGCACACAATCTTGCCGAATCTCGAATGCTTATCGTTAAGTAATTCGAATCTTCAGGATGATCCGATGCCAAAGTTAGAGAAGTTACCGAACCTAGTAAGTCTGGAATTGCGGTTTCATTCTTACCATGGAAAGAAAATGATATGCAGGGAAAAGGGTTTTCCTCAGCTTGAAAGTTTAGAAATTCTTAAACTGTACGAGTGGGAGGAATGGCAAGTTGAGAAAGGAGCTATGCCTATGCTTAAAAATCTGGAGATCAAGCCAAAGAACTCCGAGCTGAGAATTCCAGAAAGATTGATATCAATCCCTGCCCCTACCAGGAGATATTCGACTGTACGCGCTCGTTTCTGATGAAAAATTTAGTAACTGGAATGCTTTGTCTTTGTGTGTTTTTCCATTTGAACTATACTATACATTAACTTAGAAGTATTGATTATATATTTATAGATTCTCTGGTGCAAACGTTTTGATTTTCAACCATTTTTTAATATTACTGCTACAAAATTAAATTTAAGAAAAAAAGTAATGTATAATAATATTAAATTACTTTGATCAATTACTGTCATCTTGATTATATGCAATTGGGATTCAGTTTTACAAATTATATAAATATTTATAAATGTTGAATAATTGTTAAGTTAATGTGGCCAAATGTAACATAAATTTAAAGGATTAGTCATTGTGAATATGTATCGACATTTGCTTATTCCTTTTGTGGAATAATTATGGATTTAATCTTTCTGATTAATCAGGATATATTTGTTACACATTGTACAAAAGTTACAAATTTGGACTAATTACTGTAATTCACAGCCCACCACGGCCCAATTGACACGGTATAAATGGGCCTTTGTCGGTCCAAGCCTAGACATGAATGGGTTGTCACGAAGCACAAAGCCATAACCGAGGCAATACCGAGGCAAACGAATGTGCAAGAGAAGTGCATAAAGAAAACAATCAGCTGCGAGACAATAAAAAAATAAGGAAGAAAACTTCAAGGAAATTGATTACCACAAACACAATAATCAACGAACGAGATTAGAATTCAAAGTAGCTTTAGGCATCTTCACATCCCCATTCAGCTAGGGCGGAATTGATCTTAGCCTTTCTGGAAATCTGAACTTAGGAGTATCTCTAGGATCTTCAAGTCTTTAAGCATTGGCAATGCGTCTTGATCTACATGCCACTCCTTCAATTCATAGAAATCAAACTATAGAATGTCAAGTCGAGGGAAATCATCTGCTTGCCACTCCTCCAATTCATAAAAATCAAATTGTAGAATTTCAAGTAATTTTATTCTTTCTAGAACTTCACGAAGAGGAACAATTTGCTGATTTTTATTATTGAAACATCTATCAGTTAAAATATCATTTGGTTTGAGTCCAAGCTCGTACGGCTGATATTATTATTGAAACACTCGGTCTATTGTCAAGGTATTATCTGTTCTGGGTCCAAATTCATACGAAATTGCTTTTGACTTTCACCGAAAAATAGTCTTGGCAACTTAGGAGCTCACATAATCATTTACTTCTTCCCAAGTTACTTAATTTGAAGGCAATAGGAGATTAAGAGAAAAAATTGAAAGAGAATTGATTAACACAAAATTAATAATCAATGAACCAGATCAGGATTAAAAGTAGCTTGAGTTATTTATAGGTACTCAGTACTCTGGCATCTTCACATTCAAAATCGGCAAGGATGGGATTGATGTTTGGGATCTGCAAGCCTCCAAGCATTGGCATAACATATTCATCTACTTAGCCACTCCTCCAATTTAAGGAAATCAAAGTTGTAGCTTAGGGAAAACATCTATGGAGCAGATCTAAAATGAAAATATGAAAGAATTTTATGTGATAGTCATACAGACGACATGATATCTTTGTCGTAAACTGAAAACTAACAGCCCAACAATTTGAAGAAAAAAGAGAAATTGATTGAAAGGAAAAGCACATACAAAAAGGAGAAATTCTTGAAAGTTCAAAGGAGCTTGAGTGACAAATGACCACATCGTTCCTCATAGAACTCCCGACAATTTTTTAGTGTATTGAAGAAAATTCTTTAAATGAAGAGCTCTAGCTTTAGAATCATTCAAAAATTCATGCTCAAGAGTAAGCCATATTTTAGTAGCAAATTGACACTTCGGCGCATGACCAAACATGCCCTCTGAGATCGAAGCTAACAACCAGGTTACTAAGAACTCATTAGTTCGTTTCCAGGCAACATAAGTAGGATTAATTTCTTCTTTAACTAAATTCTCTTTTGACCTAACTTCTTTTGAATAAGAGAAATTGTCAAGATCATAGGCAATTAGAGGACAAGAAATTAAACCTACCAAGTGATCCTCAAGCTCATGAGCTCCTACTGTGAAAAAGAATTTGTGGTCGCCAAAATCTGTATTTGTCGTGATAGTTATCTCTTGTTAACTTTAGATTCACTACTTGAAGACCAGAAAGAAACACTAAGGTATATGAATTGGACAAGCTAGAGAAATTGTTAACTACTTTCTCCATGTTATGTACAATTGATTAGAATCAGAAATTTTTGCCATTAACATTAGTCTTAGGCTCTGATACCACGTGAAACTGAGAGAAAGAGAATAGGATTTTGAGAGGAAATTTGGAGGGAATCCTTTACTGATTATTTCATTGATTGATTACAAAAGAACTCAGCTCACTTTCATATGAAGCAGTGAGTGAAAAGGAAAGAGAAACTGTAAGCTTAAGCAGTACACGATTGCAAAGTGAGAACGACATCGTTTAGTCCTTAAGAGGTAAAGTCAGCATTGGTCAACATAAGCTTGACAGTCAACACTGGTCAACACACACTACTTGACCAATAAATATTACCAACCCAAAGTTGAGTGGGGGCCCTGGGGGGTGATGAAGATGAGATATTATATTTAACTAATATTAAATATTCAATAAAGTTCCTATGTTCTAAGAATATGGAAAAGNACCTCAAGTTGCTTGCAAACAACAACCAATCTTTCTCAACAGCTTTTGTTGAGTCACCAGCCAATAAGATCGAATGTAAAAACAAAGCCAAGCACACTTTTATCTTCTCTTTATCAGTATATTCAACTGTTTCTAGACTCTTCTCTAATCCCTGTGCTGTAATAGAGTTAGCGCCCTGCAAAACTTTATTAAGAAACTGTATGGCTCCCCGACTATTCTTTACTCTCTCTACCTTCTTTTCTGGCACTTCCCCACATCCTAAGCCCGTCACAAGGGCATATTCCATCATGCCAAAACGTAGTGGCTTTCTGCCCACCACAAACCACATTTCTTTATTTTTTTGCATCTTACTGAGTGCAGCAACATGTAATGCACTCCCTGCCCCCAAAATACCTTTTTCCAATGATTTCCAAGTCATAAAAACTGACCGAAACAAGTTTCACTGAAATCTCGTTTACCATTCCTAATTCCATCCAAAATGTCCTGTATTCTGTCAAAAACTTCCCAACTGGACCTGACCGTCACCCTTGCAGGGAAGTAGGGCACCTTATCGCTTATAAGGTCTAACTCGTAGTCTTTGATGTTTACGGCCCGCACAATCTGCGCAATCGATATAAACAAAATGTGAGCAACAAAAATAAACCTAAACAACTAATAAACAAGATATCAGAAAACAAAAGATTACGACTGTGGTCGGTTAAGCGATGTTAGATCGGTTAAGAGATCTTGACTCTACCTCGTGCAAGATCGCTTAAGCGATTTTATATCTATGATTCTGACTCCAAATGATCGCCTAAGCGATCTTAAATCGCTTAAGCGACCAAGAGTCAACTTAATCAATCACTTAAGCGATATAAAGGATCACTTAGCCGATCTTAGATCTGGGCAGATGGAGTAAAAGAGGTTAATCGCTTAAGCGATACAAATGATCGCTTAAGTGACAGTTAAGAATGTACCCTTTCTTTGACGGCCTGCTCATTCTTGCCGGCCTCATCCTCGTCGCCTGAATCCTCAGAAGACTCCTCCTGCCCTGATTGTCATCGGAATCCTCCTCCTGGCCTGAATGATCGCCTGACTCCTCGTCTTCAGAACCGCTTGAGTGGCCACTTTCCCGTCAATGCTTCATCACCGAGGTGCTCAAACATCCCGCTCTCGCGCAACAGCCACGGGAACAACACGGACAGTGCCTCCAACTTGGCCTCCAACTGCTTGTCTCGACAAATTGTTGGGTTGCAGTCAAGGATCTTCAGCAACCTCTCCTCTAAGAGCACGACGACTGCTATCCAGTGCATTTCCTTGACCAGGATGATGCAGTAGACACTTTTAACCTTTGCCCAACTGTGGCCATATTTGGGCCTGTCCCCCATTACATACTGCATCATCCTATCATCAAACTTAAAATCATTAGGGATGCAGTCCAAGTCTTCTGTGCCCGATCGTTTTCGCTTGGCTCCTTTTGCTATAGATGTACCAATGGCCTTTTTCAATAAATTTCTATATGTCTATTCCAGTGTTTGGCCAAAGGCCACATCGGTGATGGCACAATCGGGATACAATAGATCACCATTGCTGGTTTGTCGCAGCCTCATCAGTGCCAATACCTCATCGATGTACTGCATCAAATAAAGATAACATGATAAGTATACAATACCTCATGGAAAATATAAGCAAAAATAAGGAAAATTAAGTGAAAATAACTCACCGAGTCGTGAAGCCAGCTGCCCATCGTCAAAATCTTTTCAAACCAATCCCGAGAATAATCCCCAGTCTTACACTTTACAAGGGCATCACTTCCGGATTCATTGTAATAGGCATAGAAGGGTTTTTTCTTTTCCTCCTCTATTGGCCTATACAAATCGACAGTGGACTCCATTTTTGCTTGCCCGCTTCCTCCCCCTTCCTCCATTTGTACATCCCCGCTTCCTTCGCCTCCCGCCTCAACCTCCTCCATTATAACTACCCCACTTCCTCCAGAAACCTCTTTAAACCCCTCAATTTTGGCTTCTTCCTCAATTTGTTTCTTTGTTTTCCTCTTAATTCCACGTGTTGGTACGGTGTAAGGTGATTTCACAAACCTGCTCTTTCGGCTATCTCTTTTCAGCCCAGATTGCACTTTAACCGCCTTCAATACTCCACCAACTTCCTCTTGCACCCTACCAACTTCCTTCTCCACCCTAACAACTTTCTCTGCCACCTTATCCACTTTCTCCTCCACCCTTTTCAACTGCTCTTCCATTTTATCAAACAAACTCTTTATGAGGTCAACCACCTCACTCTCTTGACCCCGACGCCTCAGCAAAGCGGTACTTGTTGTACCGGTTTGCTGAGGCATACGAACCTCTTCCTCCCTCCCACTAATTGTGCCTTCATCCTCCTCGGCGTCAATCACATTCTCAA